GTAGTCAGTTGTCCTAGCACCATTTAAATTGTCTATTTTTTCTCTATTGAGGTGTTTGTAGAGTTGGTTTGTCATGTGCTAGATCTATTCGTGCATGTGGGATTTTTTTATTTTATTCCATTGATTTGTTTCTTCCTGTTCTAATATCATGTCTTAAATGCTGGGGAATTATGATAAACTTTCCATCTGCTTGAAAAAGATGTACACAATAAAATCCTTAATTTTCTTCTGCTCCCTGTTGGATGGTCACATTCTTAGCCAATCTGCCTGATCATCCTTTCTGAAATTTCAATGCATCCATCAACAACTTTACATCTTCCTTCTCTGGTTTATTTTTTTACTTAGCATTATATTATCTAACACAGTAATGGGTATATTTATCTTACACATTATTCTTTTCTCTGCAAGAATATAAGGCTTATGAAGGCAAGACTTTTGGACTCTCATCACTCTTGTATCTCTAGCACTGAAAACATTGTTTGGCACTTAGTAAGTAGGTGCTCAAGTAATATTTCTGCAACAAATCAAACAATGTTGATATAGGTGGGTACTTAAAAAAGTTCATGGAACAGCAAAATTAAAAGATAAGTTTATTGTGCCAAAATTTTTGAAATACATGCATAGTTTTTTTTTAATAATAGACATTTTTTTCTCATAAACTTTCTGGAGTTTGAAATCCATGGATTTCAAATTTTTTTTTGCCCCAAAGCAAACATCTTACACTTGATCTTAGCCAAAAGGCCAAGAAGCTATGCAAGCAAACATCTTTTAACACCATTTCCACAAACTTTCTTTTCTGAAATTCCCTTACATTGTTAGAAGCATAGTCCTCCCTGCTGCACTAATCTTTAAGAGAATACTTTTTCCTTAGCTCTTTTGCTCTTTCATGCTAGACTAATAAAAGTGGTCTAAAGGAGAGGGAGAAAAATGAAGCACTCTCCTTAGATTTCCTTTCTAGCCAATTCCCCGACTGGGTAGTGAAATGCAGAGGGTGGATGGACCAGAGGTTGGTCAGCTCTGTACTAGCTTTTATGGGTGAGCTATCCTGCTGGAAATGCCTCCTGTTCCTTTGCCTTCTGTGGCAAAGACAGCTGGCAGGACTTAATGTTAGCAGCATACTTATTTGGTAAGGCAACATACCACGCCTTTGGTTTTTAGGGCGACACACCCTGCACAGTGAAAGAATGAACACTCACTTTGATTTACCAAGCATTGCAACCAAATTCTGAACTCTTTAAGAGTGACACAGTGCAGAACAGGAGTCCTGGAGCTATGGAGTCATCTAAAGGTGAATACCTCTTGGGGCAGCCTTTCTGCAGCTGAGTAATGCCAAGGGCAGGCACTGAATTAAGCAGTGATGATTCACAGAAGTTCTGCCAGAGAAGGTACTTTGTGCTTTAGTACAGGCTAAACCGGGGAGCCAAGTCATTCTGGAAAGAATGTGTATGAAGTTTTCAGATGAGGACTTCAAGTTTTTTGGTTGGAATTACATTTGATTCAAACCATCTGTTTAATGTGAAGCCAAACCAGGACTTTTTTTCATACATCTGTCATAGTACTTATCAGTTCAGCCTCCTAAATACTTTTGAGGGTTCATGGAATGCCAGGCACTGGGGTGACAAAATCATCGACATAGCCATTCCTGCTTTTGGGATGTGTATGGATCAGTTGATGAAACGATTACATGAAAGAGCTCATGGGATTTACCAATCATGACTATTGAAGTGTATAATATAATACCAGTGGTTTGTGCCCCAGCTGCTCCACTTCCAAACCAGCTCCCTGCTAATGGCCTAGGAAAAGCAGTGGAAGATGGCCCAGGTGTTTGGGCCCTTGCCATTCATGTGGGAGACCCAAATGAAATTTCTGGCTCCTGCCCTCGGCCTGACCCAGCCCCAGCTATTGCAGCCATTTGGGGACTGAATCAGTGAATAGAAGATTTTCTCTCTTTTTCTCCTTCTTTCTGTAATTCTGACTGTCAAAATAATAAATCTTTTACAAAAAGATGTTGGTAATTTTAAACATGGATATTTTTCCAGTATTCTGAGTCAATCACAAAATGATATTAGTTATTTCATTTTTTTAATTTGGGAGATACTGTGGTAGACATTTTAGGGGTCATAAAGGCAAAGAAAAGGACCTGTCCAGAAAGAGCTTAAAATCTAGTAGTACTGCTATACTTAACCAACTATATGTGGTGATCACAAACTCTTGAAACTGTGAACAAAGCCATTGTGTATGTGGAATTTTTCTGAGAAAAACTTTCATTGAATTGTCCAGTAGTTCATATTCCCAAAAGATTTAGAATCTTGAAGTTGGCATTGGAGTGCAGTGTGTTAAGCTTCCGCCTGCGTCAACAGCGTTCCACGTCAGTGAGCTAGTTTGAGTCCCAGCTGCTCTGCTTCCAATCCAATTCCCTGCTAATGTGCCTGGAAAGTAAACGAGGATGGCCCAACTATTTGGGTCCCTGCCACCCTTGTGGGAGACTCTGATGGAGTTCCAGGCTTCTTGCTTCCATCTGGCTCAGCCCTGGCTGTTACTGCCATTTGGAGACAGAATCAGTGGATGGAAGATCTCTCTCTCTAAGATCTCTCTATCTCTCTCTCTCTGCCTTAAGTAAGTAAATAAATAAATAACTTAAAAAAAAAAAGATTATGAACTTCTGTCATGGAATCACACCACATGGGAACTGGTGTGGAGCCTTGGGGGCTTAAAGGAGCAACACAGGTGGTGATGCTATTTTCAATGTGAAAACTTGGCCAATTTTTCAGGGGAAAATTTCTTTGCTGCCAGTGATAAAAGCATTTTATGCACCATTATAACTTATCTATTTTTCTTTTTTCATTCTTTGTGTTGCATTTTTTCCTGATGTATTGATGTAAGTTCTTTGTATCCTGATGGTCTTAATCTTTTTGAAGACTGTGATAAAACTTTTCCTCAGTTCGATAACTGCAAAATACTTTTTGTGAACTTTTTAGATACCTAGTTTTATATCTTTATATTCAAATCTTTAGATTTGTATTTTTTAATATTTAAATTCACTTCCTATCCAGAGATCAGATATTCAGGTAAATGTTCTTACACTCTGGGCTCCAGGTGTCTTCTCTGGGACAGGTGATACGCGTGATAGAGAGAGGAAAGAAATAAGGGGAGCCTGTTATGTGTTAGTGGAATTAGAACAGTGAAATGTTTGCGCTGTGGTGCCTGGAGACATTCTTCTTGGGCTTGAACCTGGCTGTTACCACATGACCTCCTGAAGTCACTTCATGTTTCTTTAGCTTTCCTATCTATAAAATAGGGTTCACAATGGAACTTACCTCATAGAGTTATGAGAACAAGAATTCCATAAACACATAAACAGGTCGTGGCACACAGTACTAGCCACAGTTTAGCCCGTGCTGCGTGGGTGGTTAGAAGCTTGATATTGTCTCAATATTCTTTGCATTTCTAGAAACTTCAACATTTTCAAAGTCCTCTCCTAAGCACTCCTTTTATTGAACTTTTGTGGGTGAGACACGCCTCCTAGAGGCCGCAAGAGAAGTTTACTTCCCGCGCTAAAATATTCTGCCAGCCAGCCAGCCAGCCAGCCAGCCAGCCAGGAGGCGAGCCCAGCGCGCGAGGTTCTCACGCAGCAGAACGTCAGGAAAGTCGGCGGCGCGTCCACTCTTGAGAGGCCGCCAGAGCTTCCTGCCCGCGGGTCTCCTCCGGTTCCTGGAGACCCCGCAGCGCCTTCTGAGCGCGCACCCTCGCTCGCCGGCGCCTACGAATGGGGGGCTGGAGCTGGGCGTAAATGGGATCAGGCGACTGGCCCGAGGCGGGTTGTGGTCCAGTATCAAAAACAAAACATACGGTGCGTAAAAGCGCAAATGGACGACGATCTTTCAGCCGCTTTTCCCATCCACAAAATGGGACGAACATGACGTATCCTATAGGGTCGCTGAAGGATTCAACGAGGGGGCGAAAAAAGGCCACTGAAAGCGAGCCAGGTGCAAAGAGGAGCGCAGTGCCCGTTCTTTCTCCATTGCTCTCCCAGATTTAAAGTGATGAGGCCCTGCCCTGCAGATCTGAGCGCCACTTAGTCCTCAATTGATGGGAGCTGTGTTAGCGTCCCCAAGAAACTACCCGGAGTCAATCTTTAGCGTGTGGAAGTTTTAGCCGCTAGCATCTTTCAACCGCCAGAAGCTACTGACTCCATATATAGGAGCAGCCGCTGGCAATGTGGGAAAAATCCACTCACAACACTTGAGTTAAAACCTTGACCAGGGACGCAACACCGAGGCCTCAGGCGCTCCCCACTGAGCGTGCGCACGTCTCGTGCGGGGTGGGCGGGTCTTCTGTGTCACTTCCGCTTCCGCTTCCAAATAAAATCTCCCGCCACCTGGACCGAGCGGCGTTAGCCTGTGATCTTTTAAGAGTTTGGCTTCTTGCGGGTAAGACGAACTCTCAGGGATTTAGAACGGAGAGCTGTGCTTGCAAGTCGGTAAGAAAGGGAGATCGTTTTGCGGGCCTTGGGGACAGAACGATTGACCTGGCAGGGTGGGCGGATTGGGTATTGGTTGGTAGTTGGGGGCTAGAGACGCAGGAGCCGGCAGGAGTTGGGGGAGATAGCTGCCGACTGGATCTTTAAGATAGTTCTTTTTCCCAGGGTGAGGTTTCATTAAGTCTCATCCAGTCTCAGCCGCACTTTGCTAAAGAGTTCAGGATCGCAGACCCCATAAAACCTTGTCTTAGCTTACGATTATAAAGGTCGCAGACCTGTAGTGAGCTGGCGGAACACCTGCTGCGTCTTCCCTGGCACCCCTCTCCCCGCTACGAAGTTATTTCAGCTTGTGTTGTGGACAATCCGGAAAATAAAGACATCACACAGGGATAACTGCTGTTAACATTGTGTGCATGCTTTCAGTTTCAGTATTTTTCTGTGTTTGTAGAGTTGTTTGTTGTTTCCCGTTCTATTCCATTTTTTGGTAGTTCTAACCTTTTTTATGTGCATACTTCCAAAGTGAACAGGATGCAGTTTTCTGGAGGAAATCGGAGGAAGAAGCTGAGGTTGACAGGTGACCAGAAGAATGTGAGCTACCCTCATAGCCTTCAGTTTTACTTGCAACCACCTTCTGAAAACATATCTTTGATAGAGTTTGAAAGCTTGGCTATCGATAGAGTTAAATGTAAGTGATACTTAAATAGAATATATGTTCTTGAGATGCTCATTTATGTTTCTTGGGGATGAATGAAAATTTATTTCTTTCATTCAGCAGCACATTCAATAAATGTCTGAAGGATTTGTTATTAAGGGCTTGCCAGTCACTCATTTATTGTATAGTGCGTATTTATTAAATGCTATTATGTTCTAGATGGCAGAGATTTTGGGGTGAATAATGTAATTCCTCACTGGGAATGTATTACAGTAGGCAGACATACAAAATAATAGTCATAATACAGTATTTTGCTCTAGTAAAAGTGAATAGTAGTGCTGTTAAGGCATGGAAGTGGGAGTGATTGACTTAGTCTGATTTAGTCAGGCTTCTCAAAGAAGCTGAGTGGAATTTGGATCTTGTTGGTGAGCTGAAATTTTTCCAACAGAGAAGGGAAAGATTTTTTCCAAGTTGAGATAATGGCCTTTACCAAAGCTTAGAGACAGGAAAGAGAATGTCGTGTTAGAGAGCAGTGACAATTTCAAGGTAGTAGGAGAAGTATGGATAATTAAGGGTCTTTTTTTTTTTTTTTTGTAATGAAACCACTAATTAGTATTGGAGTATAAGGTGGATATGGCCACTGTACTAGGGCTTATTTAACCTTTGTGTGTTGATGGAAGAAAGGTATGAGCAAGGCATGAATTGAAACCAAAATACTATCAATGTTTTCAGAGTTCATGTTCCAAGATATTCTTGTGGGAAAATTGGAAGGAGACATGAGATAATGCTAGCCATTTTTAGAGGGACAGGGTAAGAACTTTTAATGCAGAGAGGGAGCATTCAGTACCTGTTTGTTGAATGAAAGAGTAAAGGCAAGGGAGAAAGGGTTTTAAAAAGCCTAACAGTTTCAGATGCTTCATAAGGATTAAGGTGGTGATTGATAAGGTGTTCTTGGGATTGACATGCAGTGAAATGGTAAGAATCTGATCTAAGGTAATAACAGCAATGATAGAAAGGCAGAGATTAAAGGAATACTGAGGAGGTATTGGAGGTGTAGGAGTGAGGGGGCAGCTGCTGGGTAGAGGTTCCTGCTTGGATGTACTAGTGGATGGAAAGTCTGCTAATGGAGATGGGGAAGACAGGGAGATAATTAGTTTGGATAGCATAATAAGGAGGTGCCTGTGGGACATGGATTTATGCTCAGGCGATTATTAGGAGGTTTTTCATTCTTGAATTCAAAGATGCCTCAAGAAGGGCTGGCGCTGTTTTGTAATTGATTAAGCCTCTGCCTGTGAAACTGGCATCCCATGTGGACACCAGTTTGAGTCCTGGCTGCTCCACTTCTGATCCAGCTCCCTGCTGATATCCTGGGAAAGCAGTGGAGGCTGGCCTAAGAGCTTGGGCCGTTGCACCCACCTGGGAGTCCAGAGGAGGCTCCTGGTTCCTGGCTTTGGATGGGAAAGCAGTGGAGGCTGGCCTAAGAGCTTGGGCCCTTGCACCCACCTGGAGTCCAGAGTAGTTCCTGGTTCTTGACTGGATGGGCCTGGCTCTGGCCATTGTGGCCATTTGGGGAGTGAACCAGTGGAAAGAAGACCTCTCTCTCTCTTTCCCTCTCTCTCTAACTCTGCCTCTCAAATAAATAAATAAATAAATAAATCTTAAAGCCTTGAGAAGAATTAGTCTGAGAAAAGATTGCTAAGGGGTTTTAGGCACCTTTGACAAGCATGCAGCCTGTATTCATGATAGTTCGTTTGGGTGACTGGATGCCTCTGCTTCATCAATAGCAATGTTGTAGTCTCTCCTTTGCTTCATCAGGGAAGGAAGGGCAGGTTTTTTCTGATGGATCTTTGTTGAGTAAATGAAGCAGACTGCCCAATAGGCAGTGCCACATGAAGCAAGCAGACAAAGATGCTTAATTTGTTTTCCATCTGGCTCACTTTTTTTTAAAAATGATTTATTTATTTATTTGAGAGGCAGAGTTAGAGAGAGGGAAAGAGAGAAGAAGAAGGAGAGGAAGGAGTGGGAGAGGGAGGTCTTCCATCTGCTGGTTCACTCTCCAAATGTCTGCAATGGCCAGAGCTGGGCCAATCGGAAGTCAGGAGTTTCTTCCAGGTCACCCATGTGGGTGCAGGGGCCCAAGCACTTGGGCCATCTTTCATTGCTTCCCCAGGCTATTAGCAGGGAGCTGGAACAGAAGTGGAGCAACTGGGACTTGAACCAGCTCCCATATGGGATGCTCCCATATGGGATGCCAGCCCCTGCTGGCTCACTTTTCTATTCCTCAACAACAGGGGCTCAGTGCAGTGGTGATCACTGTCCTTCCCTCTTCCTGGATTGAGAATCCTTGGTGTTAGATTATATGGTGGGACATGAATGTGTTCTGCAACACAGGTAGAGGATATCCACTTGCAAACATACTTGTATATATAGTCATGCACTAAGTAATGCTTTGACCAGTGGTGGACTGCATATGCAGTGGTGGTCAATTAGGATTATATCACCACGTTATGTTATAGGTGTCTTGGTTCACATTAAGTATACTGTGGGGGCCAGTGTTGTGGTATAGTGGGTAAAGCTGGTGCCTGGGACGCTGGCATCCTGTGAGGGCAATGGGCATCTGTGTGGGAGGCCCTGATGAAGCTCCTGGCTTTGGCCTGGCCCAGCCTTGGCCATTGTAGCCATTTGGGGAGTGAACCAGTGGATGGAAGATCTCTGTCTTTCCCTCTCTCTCTGTAACTCTGCCACTCTGCCTTTCAAATAAATCTTTTTTTTCTTTAAGTACACTATGATTTTTGTATAACAACAAAATTGTCTAATGAAGCATTTCTCAGAGTGTTTATCATTATTTGATGCATGATTGTAGCTTGTGTATTGTACTTATCAAGAAAAGACTTTGTCACTTGTTATGTTCTATAAACACATAATTGCAGAATTGCTATGCATAGATTTTGTCCTGCATTTAATTTTAAAAAATTATCTTGCATTTTAACTTTTTCTTTTCATCTTTTTGTAAGTGCTCAAGACAGTGGAAAATCTTGGTGTGAGCTATGTGAAAGGAACTGAGCAATACCAGAGTAAGCTGGAAGCTGAGATTCGAAAGGTCAAGTTCTCCTATAGAGTAAGTAAACGAGGAAAAAAATTTCCTTCAGTTATATGTATTCACATTATTGAGCGTCAGCTGTAAAAAAGGTCTTGTACGAGGCGTAGAACTTTTATAAAGACTAATGTAGTGTGGACTGCCTGAAGGTACCTACCGTCTACTAAGGGTATTTGACATGTAGTCTGATGATATAGTATGGTAGACTTCTCAGCGTCATGGCTTCTACCCTCTAGAGATCTGCAGACATTGTGCCATACAGGATGGTGGGTACTGTTATTAGATGTGTACTTCAGGATCTTCCTGAGTATGAACATATTATTTACCCAGCTGACTGGAGAGGCTTGGGAAGGCTTTACCAGAGGAAGTAGTGCTGGAACTACGACTTGACAGATGTGATCAGATTTTGATTTTGGAATTTGACTGTCAACAGCATATTGACAGGGTCATGTCTGATAGGAGGGAAACCAGTTAGGAGCTTGGAAGTGGTGGGAATGTGAACCAAATGAAAGGGGACCAACTGAAGAGGGGTTAAAAAGTAGGATCACTGGATTTTAGTGACTGATTGCAGAGGAAAAGGGAGACTATGATTGACACCCAGATTTCCAGTTAGGACAGGTAGGGTATGGTGGTGATATTTTGAGATGTGATGTACAGGAGGGGAAGCTAGTTGTAGAACAAAGTTGTTGAGTTTAGTTCTAGACATGTGTTTGAGGTGCCTGTGAAAGTATCTGCTGGATGTAGGTCTGGACTTAGAAGACATAGGTAGTGGGAGTATAGATGAGGGAAAAGTTGGAATCATTATGATTAGGTGAGGGTACCCTAGGAAAATGTTTGAGAAGCGAAGATAGTGGAGACAGGTATGAGGAATACCAATATTTAATGTGCAGTGGACTTAAAAGGAGACTGGGAAGGGAGTTGAGAAGAAGCTCCCTGAGAAGTAGGAGATGGACTAGGATAGCGGTCCCATAGAAGCCCTGGAAGGCTGGGCTTCAATAATCGTGATCAGAATATTAATACTGATAATATAGAAATCACAACAGCAGACATTTATGTTTACTATATATCAGACTTCGTTCTGTTACATATTAATGTATGTAATCCAGATTACAGTCTTTTAAGGTAGATATTGTTATTGTCCCTATTTTACAGATGAGGGTACTGTGTTAGTTACTGATTAGTTCAGTAACTTGCTCGATTTCTTATGATGGTAAGTGATGGAATCAAGATTGGCATCTGGACATTTTGTTTCTGTGGTGGTACTCTTAACCACACAGTTTCAAAACCTTAAGATAGTGTGAGATGAATTGTATTATGTTGTCCATTTGACTTAGCGGTTATGAATGTCATTGTATGTAGGGTCAAAAACCAGAACAATGACAGTGGTTGGAGAAGGGAAAGTAGAAATGTGAATGTGGAATATGTAATATTTTAAGATGTTTAACTGAAAAGATGGAAGAAATAGGGCAAAATATAGAGGAGATACACACACACACACACACACACACACACACGTGACAAGAGAAACGATGTGTTTATAGGCTGAACAGAAAGATCTAGTAATAGAAAGAAGAGTAGGAGAACTTAAAGATACCTTGAATAGTTGATAAATCAGGTTCCTGAAGACATGAAAGCACATGGGGTGGAGAGTTTAGGTGTGGTGATTAGCTTCATGTATGAGGAAGGAGAGATGCTTTGTCCATGGAGATGGATGGAAACATAACACAGCATGAGGATGCAGAAGCTTGGGACTGAAGGAGTCTGCCTGGTGGCTCTGATTTTCTGTAAAGTAGATGAAATCAACTTTAGAGAGAGGAGGAAGATGTGCTGTGATAGGGGCAACTTTTCTAAGAAATAAGGAGAGATGATTGTCAAATCCCAGTTCTGCTGTTTATAAGCTCGGTGACCTTTAATAACTCAGTAACCCCTCATGCCTCAGTTTCCTCATCTTTAGTGAAATTTAAAGACAAAAATTTTTTTTGAGAGTCAGAAGAAGAGAGCTTTTATTTGCTAGTTCTTTCTCCAAATGTCTGCAATGCCAGACCTGAGCTGGATGGGCCAGGAACTTGATCCAAGTCTTCCATATGAGTTGCATGGAGCCATCACCTACTCTATCCTAGACTGCATATTAGCAGTCTGGAATTGAGATTAGAACTAGGATTTGAATCTGGTCACTCTGTTATGGGATATGGTGTCCCAACCAGTAGCTTAACCTCTAGGCCAAATGCTCACTCCAGTTTGCTCATCATTAAAATAATGATATGCTGGTGTTTCACATCACATGGTGTTTTGAAGGGATTGAAAGGATTGATACATTAAAAATACTTGGAATACTGTGTGTTACCTAGTAACTGTGGTCAAGGCTTGTTAATTGTTAAGTGTTTTGAACTTGAAAAGGATTGCTTGATGTTGGTTAAGAGTTCAACTGAGATTAGAGACCATGAAGTTTTTATTCCAAGTTTCCATAATTTTGTATACATTTTTTTCCAGCATTTTGAGAGTGCATGATGATTGAGGATTGTGTGGTATAGCTATAGAGTAATCTAGAATCTAGCTAGATTTTACTAGTTGGTTGAAATTAAGGAATTTGAGGTTTGACATAAAAGTGTTTGAAGTGGAAAGTCCACTGAGTATAGGCTGAAGAAAGAAACTGAGGAGAGAGGAGTTAATAGGAAGAAAATGGGACAAGGTTTGGTTGAGGTCGGTTCAGCTGTCAGTTTAAGTAAAATGTTGATGAGCCTGGAAAGCATTATTAAGAAATGTGTTTTTGAAGGGCTGGCATTAGTGCCTTATTTTTGCAGTGCTGGCATCCCATATGGACGTCAGTTCGAGTCCTGGCTTCTCCACTTCCAAACCAGTTCCCTGCTAATGCCCTGGGAAAGCAGTGGAAAATGACCCAAGTCCTTGGGCCCCTGCACCTATGTGGGAGACCCGGATGAAGCTCCTGGCTTCAGTCTGGCCCAGCCCCAGCTGATGTAGCCATTTGATTTGGGGGAGTGAACCAGCAGATGGAAGATCTCTCTGTTTCTCCCTCTCACTGTAAAGCTGCCTTTCAAATAAATAAATCTTAAAAAAAAAAATGTGTTTTTAAATTTTACCCTTAGGTTATGCTATGCTGACTTAGTATTTCTTTACACTACTTAACGTTCTAATGGTTTTTTTTTGGTTATTATTTTAAGGAAAATTTAGAAGATGAATATGAACCACGAAGAAGAGATCATATTTCTCATTTTATTTTGCGCCTTGCTTATTGCCAGTCGTAAGTATACTTTTATATCTCATAGTCATATCTGATGTCTTGGTTTATAAATTGGTGCAGAGAAAATTGGTATGTTATACTACATGTAGGAAAATTCAGAGTAACATCAGGAACCAGTGGGTCATAAGTTGAACCATGTGGCAGTGGAACATGTTGTTCACTCAAAAAAAACCAAAAATTTTCTGTTGCAGAATTTGACCTGATGCAGCACTTTTTTTTTTTTTTTTAAAGTCTATTTATTTGAAAGTCAGAATGACAGATTGATGGGGATAGAGGAGAGAGAGATCTTCCATCTGCTGGTTTATGTCCCAAATGCCTGGGCTAGGCTAGGCTAAAGCCAGGAGTCTAGTACTCCATCTGGGTCTACCATGTCGGTAGCAGGGGCCCAAGCACTTGAGCCATCATCTGCTGCTTTGTAGGATGCATTAGCAGGGCTCAAACTGGCACTGTGATGTGGCATGAATGGTATGCAAGTAAGGGATTTGGATGTCCCAAGTGGCAGCTTAAGCCACTATGCCAGACTGCCTGCTCTAACACTTTAAATTTTATGGGAAAGATTCTTTGAGAGTTAAAGTTGGAAAAGATTTCTTTACGATGAGGGACTTTTAAAAATTTTCTTAAAAATAGGATAACGATTATAAGAAACAATCAAATACACACTTGAAGTTGATATATAGGCTTTTAGAATATGAGATGAATGGGTAAGTCAGTAGTGCCACCTAGAGGGAAAAGGGGTTAATACTTTTTTTTTAAATGATGACTTCGTGTCCCATTTCCCCCATATTAATTTTGGCCCAATGATATAGCTGTGACTATTTCTTTTGATTAATAGGTTAGTCAAGTAAAAATCTTGAATTGCTTATTATTCTAATATAATAATTGAGGAATTACTAATCAGCTCTGTTCCTACAATTTTTATTTTGTAAAATAGCATATGTAGTTTATGCAATTTATCCAATAGATGGATTGCTGACTATGAAAGTCACCTAAAAAAAGTCTTATTTTACATTCAGTAGTGTAATTATTTTATAGTATAACAATAGTACTCATTATATATTTTCCTTATACGTTAATATATTTTTAGTTTACTTGTAAATATTGATGTGTACTTGTGTATTTTATATTTTAAAAATGTTCATTATTTTAAACTTTATTTGAGGGAGAGATGGAGACGGAAAAATCTTCCATTTGCTGATTTGCTCTGCAAATTGCCAGGGCTGGCCAGGCTGAAACCAGGAGCCTAGAACTCAGTACAGTGTCCCAAATGGGTGGAAGAGACCCAGGTAGTTGAGCCATCATCTGCCTCCCATGGTGTAGATTAACAGGAAGCTGGGATCAGAGGCAGAGCCTGGATTCAAACCCTGGCATTTTGACATGGGGTATGGTCATCCCAAGTAGCCCCTTAGCCGATGTGCCAAATGCTTGTTTATAGGTTTGGCATTGATGAAACCACCCTATTTTCTAATGTGAATGGAATACCCTATTATCTAATGTAAATATTTTGCAGTTATATTACATGCAATGAACTATTTTCTTTCATATTATTCAATAATAATGGAGTTATCTGAAAATACTCTAATTTTTTAAAAGATTTATTTTATTTATTTGAGAGACACAGTTGCAAAGAGAGGTAGAGACAGAGCGAGAGAGATCTTCTACCTGCTGGTTTACTCCACATATGGCAGCAATGGCTGGAGCTGAGCTGATCTGAAACCAGAGCTGCTTCTAGGTCTCCCATATGGGTGCAGTGACCCAAGGACTTGGGCCATCCTCCACTGCTTTCTCAGGCACATTAGTGGGGAATCTGGATCGAAAGTGGAATATCTGGGACTCGATGCCCATGTGGGATTCCTGTGCTTTAGTCTGGTGCTTTAACCTGCTGTGCCACAGCACTGGCCCCTTTAATTTTAATTTGATGTTCATACACTCCTGTACCTCGTACCCAACATATCCCTGGAAGATTGTAATATGTGGTAAAACTGTAATCTATTGGTATCCTGCGTGTGTTTGAAATTTTCATAAAAATTTCTCATATTTAATAATTGTTACATTTTTAATTTATACTTCTGATTTCCCTGTGTCCATTTCAGTGAAGATCTTAGACGCTGGTTCATTCAACAAGAAATGGATCTCCTCCGATTTCGGTTTAGTATTTTACCCAAGGACAAAATTCAGAGTTTCTTGAAGGATAGCCACTTGCAGTTTGAGGCTGTAAGTATATTTTTCTGGTTATTTCCGATTGTTTTCACCCTTCCTCCTTCCCTTTTGCATTCTTTTCCTAAGTACCTTCCCGAAAAAGTGTCTTGCAGCTTTGTACAACAAAGCCTCACATTCACTTTATTAAATATGTGATTTATTAAAGCACAAAAACGTTTTACTTTATAAAAGTTCATCTTTAACCAAAATCTTTTGGTTCAGAATTTTAAAGCTAATAAGATATTGAAGCAGACAGACAAATAATAGTTATTTGCAGTAGTAAGGCTTAGAAGAGATAATACTTTGGAAGTTTGTTGTCAAGTACTGTATGATTTCACTCATGTGATCTCATAGGAGTTGAGAGTAGAATGGTGGTTACCAGAGGCTTGGGAGAGTACAGGGAGAAGCAGGGATGGGGAAAAGTTGCTTAATGTGTACTAAGTGATAGATAGGAGTAAGAGGTTCTGGTGTTCTAAGGCATTCTTAGAGTGACTATAGAAGACAGTAATGTACTGTGGTTTTTATTTTATTTTTTTAAATTTATGTATTTATTTGAAAGTCAGAATTACAGAGAGGGAGAGACAGATCTTCATCTGCTGGGTGCAACAGCTGGGGCTGAGTCAGGCTGAAACCAGGAACTTCATCTGGGTTTTCCACATGGGTGCAGGGGCCTAGGGACTTCCGTCATCTTCTGTTGCTTTCCCAGACACATTAGCAGGGAGCTGGCTCAGAAGTGGAACAGCTGGGATCCAAACCGGTACCCATATGGAATGCTGGCACTGTGGACGACGGCTTAACCTACTATGCCACGGTGCTGGCCCCTACTGTGTGTTATTCTAAAAAAGCTAGAAAAAAGAATTTTGAATGTTTTCACCATAAGGAAGTAGTAAATGTTTGAGGAAATAGATATGTTTATTCTGCTTTGGACATTAGAAAATATATACATGTATCAAAACATCACGTGGCACCCCATAAATATGTGTAGTTTTTAGCGTGTCACTTAAAATAATGTGAAAAGACAGCCAAATAAGAAAGAATAAGAAAACAAGAAAAGGCTGTGCCAGTAAAATCTGTTTGTCTGAATAGTTTTAAATATGAGTTTTGGACAAATCTGAATGATTAACATGCTGTAATTAAAAAGAAATCTAAGACATTTTTCATAGGTTGGGAGTTGGAAATAGAATTTATGTCTTTTAGGTAGGTTGATGATATAGTTGGAAGGCAGAGAAATTCTTTCTTGGAAAATTTAGAGCAGTTGGGTGGTAGTGGGACTGCTTGACACTTTAGTTTGGTATTGTAATAGGTGACTTGAGATCAAGTAAAATAAAGTAGAAGCTGGAATAGGTGAAAGACATTGTCATTTTTGACAAGTGGAAGGCACGTCCACAGTAGTAAGCAAGAACAGTGAGTATATGAGTTGGGGGAAGAAGACTGCATGGAGGGAAGTGAACAAACATTTAATGTCTGTTATGTGCTTGGTAGGCCCTTTCTAGAGCTGCTGTCATTTTCTTAGAAGTGCCAATGAAATTTCTAAATAACATCTTCCTAGGTGTAGACATGGGTCATATACAGGACCATCTGGCACAAACCCATAGTGTCTTATGTTTTGTTTTAACTTTTATCCATGGTAAGATCCAGTATTTATTTTTTAAACAAGATTGACTTATTTGAAAGAGTCAGTCAATCTCCCATCTGTGGGTTTACTTCCTAAATGGCTGCAACTGCGAACTCTGAGCAAAGCCTAAACCAGGAGCCAGGAACTTTAGCCTGGTCTCCCTCATGGGTGGCATGGGCCCAAATACTTGGCCTGTTTTCTGTGACATTCAGGTGCGTTAACAAGAAGCCAAATTGGAAGCAGAGCACCCAGGACTTGAACCAGCACTTCCAAGTGGGAAGCAGGGTTCACATGGAGCTTAACCTACTGAGCTACAACGCTGGCCTCTGAAGTCCATTATTGTTTTTATCTATTCTTTATTTGTCTCAGTATATTGCATGTAGTTGTTTCTTTTCTTCAAGACTTATGTATTTATTTGAAAGGCAGAGTTACAGAGAGAGAAAGAGAGAGAGAGAGAGATTGAGATTGAGATCTTCCATTTGCTGCTTCACTCCCCAGGTAGCTGCAATGACCAGGGCTGGGCCACTGATGCCAGCTGCTTCCTCTGGGTCTCCCACATGGGTGGCAGGGGCCCCGGGCACTTGGACCATCTTCTCTTGCTTTCCCAGGTGCATTAGTAGGGAGCTGGATTGAAAGTGAAACATCTGGGTCTCAAACCAGCGCCCATATGGGATTCCGGCACTGCAGGTGGCAGGTTAACCTGCTACGCCACAGTGTTGGCCCTGCCATGTAGTTTATTGAGCTAGAATTCAAATATCTTGAAATTTACTCTCTTAACTTGTGTAACTCATTGATTTTTAGTTTAATTCCAGAGTTGTGCAACCATCACCATTATCCAAGTTTTGAACATATTCATGCCCCTAAAAAATGAAACCACATACCCATTAGTTACTCCTTATTCTTTTCTCTCTTAATCTTTGTCAGTTATCAATCTACTTTATGTCTGTGTGGTTTTGCCTATTCTGGGCAAACTGTAATTATGCAATATGTGGTCTTTTGTGATTGGCTTTTTTCACTTAACCTAATATTTTTGACTTTTTTCCACATTCTGGTGTATTTCAGTAATTTTTTATTGGTGAATAATATTTTTTATGTGCTCAGAAGTTCCTAGATATTTGGGTTTCTTTATATTTTATTCATAATGCTGCAGTGAATATTTGTGTACAAGTTTTTGTGCATATTTGTTTTAATTTCTCTCAGGTATTTCTAGGTGTCAGATTGCTAGGTCATAGGGTAAGTCTGTAAACTTTTGAAGATCTGTCAAAATGTTTTCTCCAAAGTGGCCTCATTATTATACTTACCAATTTCTCCACTTCCTTACCAACAACTAGTATCTCTTTGTTAAATATACTCATTGAAGTGGGTAATGTGGTTTTGATTTGCATTTGTAATGGTGTTGAACATCTTTTCATGTGCACATTGGTCATTTGTATAGCTTCTGTGGCGGGAGGAGTGTCTGTTAGAGAGAATCTCCCATCTGCTTTACTCCCCAAATGCCTGCAGTAGTCAGAGCTGGAACAGGCCAAAACCACGAGCTAGGAATTCAATCTGCAGCTCCCACATAGGTGGCAGGGACTCAGCTATTCTAGCCATCACCTGCTGCTGAATCAAAGTGGCAGTAGTGGACATCCTGGTCTTAGGGGGAGAGCATGCTATGATGCATGTTGTTTACTGTGAGTTTCTAAATAAATATCTTTTATCAGCTTGAGGAAATTTTCTTCCAATTTTAGTTGAGTATTTTCAGGATGAAAAGGTATTGGATTTTGTCCACCTGCTCTTACTGTGTTTGCTCTTTTTTAAAATGGTGTTATACTAATTGATTTTTGGATGTTAAGCAGGTCTTGCATTCCTGAGGTAAATCTCCCTTGATAGTGATGTATAATCCTTTTCATATGTTGCTGGAATTGGGTTGTGTGTGTTTTCTTGAGCATATTTGCATTTGTGTTGATCTGATATGAGTTTGTAGTGAAAGTCTATCTTTTCTGACATTAGTAAAGCTGTTCTAGATTTTTTATGGTTGGTGTGTGCATGATATAACTTTTCCCCTGCTTTTACTTTAATCCTATGTGTTTAAATCTAAAGTGTGCCTGTTGAAGATAGTATATAGTTTAATCACTTTAAAAAAATTCATTCTTCCATTCTTTGCCTTTAGATTGGATTATTTTATTCATTTATAAGTAATTACAATAAAGCAGGATTTACATTACCACCTTGCTATTTGTCCCATTTTTTTTGTTGTTGTTGTTCCTCTATTTCTCTATTACAACCTTCTTTGTGTTAAGTAGCTATCTGCTGGTGTACCATTTAAATTCTCTTCTGTTTCTTTTTCCTGTATCTTTTTGAGTTCTTTTCTTTATGGTTTTCTTGTGAATGGTAATTACTGTTTTATCTTAAAACAATCTAATTAGGATTAATAAGAAGTTAATTTCAATAGTATACAAAACTTTGCTCTTATATGCTCTTTTCCTTCTGTGTACCACTGTGCTATTGTTGTCAGTTAATTTATATCTTTATAAAAAAAATATATGGGTAGTGTGTGACAATGTCTTCATTATAGTGTTACACTTGAGTTGTTTGCCTTGGTATACAGTTCAAGGTTGGAAAATTTCTCATCAGGACTTCGAAGGTATATTACCTTTTAGCTTCCAAAGTTGCTTCTGAGAAGCCTGATTCCATTTTGGTTTCTGATTGTCTTTATGCATATTTTTGTTCTTTGCGATTCTCATCCCTCAGTGCTGGTATTGTGAAATTGAATGATGATATCTGAATTATTTTTTCATTTATTTGGATAGGAACTTGGATCCTTTTAATCTAAAGGCTTGATACCTTCAGTTTAGGAATTTTTTTTACTATTGGCTTTTTTTTTTTTTTTTTTTTTTTTTTTTACAGGCAGAGTGAACAGTGAGAGAGAGAGACAGAGAGAAAGGTCTTCCTTTGCCGTTGGTTCACCCTCCAATGGCCGCCGCGGCCCGCACTCTGCGGCTGGTGCACCGTGCTGATCCGATGGCAGGAGCCAGGTACTTCTCCTGGTCTCCCATGGGGTGCAGGGCCCAAGCACTTGGGCCATCCTCCACTGCACTCCCGGCCACAGCAGAGAGCTGGCCTGGAAGAGGGGCAACCGGGAAAGAATCCGTCACCCCGACCGGGACTAGAACCCGGTGTGCCGGCGCCGCAAGGCGGAGGATTAGCCTTAGTGAGCTGCGGTGCCGGCCTACTATTGGCTTTAGTAATTCTTTCCCTTATGTTTTCTATGTTCCTTCTGACTCTTTAAAAATTTTTTATTTATTTATTTTCATCTACTTGAAAGGTAGTGGGACAGACTGGGAGAGAGGAGAGGGAGAGAGAGAGAGAGAGAGATTTCTGCCATCTGTTGGTTCACTTCCCAAATGCCCACAAGCAG